TCAATAAATCCTTATTTGTGGTCAGCTTTTGTTCGCGTTTTGAGTTGCTAAGCGTTGTAGCATCTAAAATGGCCAATGGGATCATAACTGTTAATTTATCACACCCTAAGTAAAATTATCAAATAGATTTTATTGGCAAACACCTCTGTTTCATAACTAAGACGTAACAAAGCGATTGTGTTATATATTATTAGCCCCTTCTAATATACTTATTCTATGCCGTATTGGAAGCTTTTTGTGGACACTCTATCTATCGGTGATTTGCTTCTAACAACATCCCGTTCAATTCTCGAAAATTGGGTGCACTGCACTATTATATGGAAAAAAAACCCAATTATTTAGCAGGCTCGCGTGGTGCTGTAGTTACCACTGTTTTTCCCTTACCATTCGATGGTGACTGGCCATCTAGAAAAAAATGTTTCCTAATGTCGAGTTGGTCACATCTGTATCCACGGTCAGTGGCCAAGTATACCACTACTGCTAGCTACGGCATCTTATAACGACAACAATCGATTAACTTAGATCGTAATTTTGTTCCTAGCGTTGGAGTAAAAGAGGATGTTTAAAGTCAAATGTGCGACGCAGGACATAACTCCGATAGCATAGAATATAGTAATGGGTTCGACTTTATAAACTCATTAGCACCCACTTGGGCTATTGCTCGACCTAGATTCACCCTTTTGATAACTACATAGATTAATTGCTCACGCTATAGTGAATTTGACAGGGGGCACATTGACGGAGCTGACTCTTTAGAGTCCGCCTTAATGCATTACGAGATGTCCTCGATGTCGTTTACGAATATGCTTTTTGGAAGGAATCACTGATCATTATTCTATGTGACAAGTATAATTTACTGCCGATCGACTTCGATTGAAACAAATCCACCGAACCAAGTGGACAACGCGTGGAAATGGGTTTGGTAATTGTGTCTAAATTATGGGTCTACACAGGATGCCACTGCGTTGATAACGAGCGATTTGCCCAATACACTAACTTGCGGATCAATACTTTACCTGGTTTACTATATCAGCCGATATAGTAAGTCACTTCTAGTTAATATCAGAAAGGTGTTTAGCAGAAGAGTGAACGCAACCTATGAAAAATTAGTACCCGATGCTTAATTCAGCAAAACCGTAATTACCGTCCTGAAAGCAATCGTTTTCGAAATAACCTGAACTCATTATATATGTATATACTAATCACTTGTTTTTATTTCTACATAGGGCCATTATTTGCTCTTCGTGCGTAGAAATTCTTTTCTAAATGGCTCCGACTGTGCCTACTATATAAGTTCTCTAACTTCGGTCTAACAAGTATTATGGACTTGCTACCAATAGAAGGTCCACGCCAGACTGAGTCTTGGTGGACTTGTAAGAGGCTTCCCCAACAGACCTGTAAAACCGCGTAGTAATCATTTGCAACGGTAACTATTTACCAGCGTCAGTAATTGGACGTTTTATTGTCGCAGGTTCAAGTTTAGTATGGCAACACTACTCAAAGATGCGCACCAAGACCTCCCCTTAAAACGCAGTACAAACTATTCCCACTTATTTCCAAATTCACTAACATTACATACCGTCTTCAAGTGACATTTCGTCTCAACATTTCAAGCGCAAGTTTGAAAAAAAGAGTTTCCCAGTAGATACTGATTCTTATCATCATCGATTATCGTCACCTAAAAAAGCCGTCAATCTTTTTTTTTAGCTAAAGGACGAAAATATCCTTTTATATTATATTATTGCGAAACTTGGTATACGCCATTTTGATCGACGCCTTTCTGGCATTCTCCTAGTATCCCACCATTGTAGAAGAGCTGTGCTTTTTGGTCGAAAAATTGCGCCAGCTGATTTTTGCACCATTAGGAAAGTTCTGCATAGACCAAAACACATAGCAGCCTGGTGGTCAAGTTAGGGGCTGCGCGTTAGGTATACTATCGTTTCCTATTTGCTGGGTAGCCGGAGATGAGTACGTACTTTGGTATTGTCGTGATAGAAAATGGTGCTTTTTCTGTTCAGTAGTTCCGCTAGATTTTGTCCGTTGGTAACCCTGTCATGTGTCATGCGACAATGTACATCGGACCCAACTGTTTCGCAACAAATCATTATGCATAGTTCCTTTTTATTCCCATCGAACACATAACTTTGCTCCTTTTGGCGCCAATCGGCCCCTTGTTACAGACTGTGAAACACATGTTTTTATTTGCACATTATTGTTGCATGTGATCCATTCTTCATCACTTATGATCAACCGCTTTATGAAGAAGTCGATTTTGTTACGTTTTTCTGTAAAGTTTATTCTGTAAAGTAAATTACAATCAAGTAGATCATTTTTTGCGTCGATTCGTGTGGCACGCGAACGTCCAACTTCTTTTTGTAGCCCGTTTTCTTCAAATGATTTAGAACTGTCTGATGCAGGCTGTTGAGTTCCTTGGAGATATTGTGGCGACCCACGTGCCGGTCTTGCTCAACTTTTGCAATAATTTCATCAGATTTTCTCCTAGTTGGTACCGGTACGGAAAGCATCTTGGATACTGAAATGTCCCGAAAGAAAACGACATAGACTACTTACTTGAATCATTTGTTCCGGTAACGAACCTTGGCTATAAACAGCATGAATTTTTCATGGGCAGCATTCGTGTCGTTGTCGTAATAACTTTGTAAAATATACCGCATTCTTGCAAACGTTTCAGTTATCGGTGAGGCTTATTTTTAACATATCTACTGATTCCAAATGTCATCTTTCAAACGGCACTAATGCCAACCCGATCCGACACCTGTTACGTAAGACATGTGGCCTTAGAGTCGCTCAATTGGAAAAAATGGTCAATACCTTTGCGACAAGCCCGTACTACATTTTGCGCCTTAATTCAACATCAGTATAATGATGAATTATTGGTCAAATTTAGGAGTATGTGGTGATCTAGGTTCGAATGCGGGTATACACACGCTGTTTTTCCTGGTAGGAGTCAGCCGTGAAGCAATGCTCAGCAACTTAAGCACGGTACGTAAAGGTCTAAGTAGAAATACTTTCGACATCAACATAGTCAGAATATATATTAGAGCTTAATAAACACTGCATCCGGTTACTTATTCCGTAAATGACTGATGAAGATGGGCAAATATATGGGCTGCCCTCCCATAGTAAAAGTGTATATTATAATTTAAACTATACCGTTCACTTTTATTCAGTCATGTGACTAGGGCAAAACATCTGCTGATTTACTTCGACGTTTTTTGAGTGTTATGCATGAATATATACGCAGGCCTCGATCGAAGTGTATCGAGGTTCATTGTCTGCTACGCTGTTGGATATTTCGATTTTTGGCCAATTTCTTAAGGATGTATGTAGATCGAGTTGGCGTTTAGCTGATTTCTAATAAACGTGGTAGTTGGCTAATCTATTGATTCTGTTGCTGGAACGTCACCAGGGCTTAAGGATCGGCCGACTTCTCGGAGACGTTAGTAAACTGAGTAGACTTCAGATATCCGAACAAATTGACATTAACCTGCCCGCCTTGCAGGACAGGTCTTATCTCAATCTGCCAGAATCCTAGGTCCTGCAAGGTCGCGGTAAGGGAAAAAAACGCCAGTTTTTTTTGCGTTGAGCAATATTGTTGCGCTGCATAGGACCTCGTCGTTGATGAAAAAAAAGTCCAAACGGCTAGGTTGACCTCGCCTAAAATCACCCTTCCTCAGAGAACTCAGGAAATTGTTTGCTTATTGAATGTGCTCCCTTTAAGCCGTCCCTGGCGTCGAGCTCATTTTATAGTGTTCTATAAGCTTCATGAGCTCGTCATGTCGTTGTAGATATCAACTAGTTTTATAGGATAGCTTAGTGGGCAACCTATATGCTTGCTAATCTTAGGAATACGTTGTGGTCAAGGTTCGAATGCGGGCATAAGCACACTTCGTATAGTCCCAGGTGTCTAATAGAACGGTTAATGACGATACCGGACGGAAAACTCGAAACGTAGAGATACCAACCAGTTGTCAGGTAGAGGAATGGCAATACCAGAGAAGTTTACTTGCCTAACAGCAGTATTTCTAATTGCATACAATTGCTGTGACTGTTCGCCTTGTTTATGTACGTCGTCTCCACGTGCACGATATTAGTACGGCTTCCTGTTTGTCTAACTGGTTCTTTATACAGTTCTGTCTATAGTCATCGGTTGAAAGGATAACGAACGGGTGGTCTGATATTGTTCATGAACAGTTTTCCATATTCGCTTTTCCGGGACTTAAGGTGTTTGCTAGGACTTTGGTAGCCTAACTGGGTCACCCCATTATCCCCTAAGCCTGCCGTAAAAAGCTCTTGCTTGCACATATATTGGTGACCTTTTTCACGAAGTAACCGCGTGTCTCTTTGCAGGTAGACCGTTTGTTCACGCTATCACCCCAATTGTTTTGTTTCTGTTTTTTGATGAATAAGAAAGAAATACACCTTGATAGATGTCACGAAGACTATCATAATAGAACAAAGGCAACCGGCATCCGTTGCTTACGATGAGTGTTAACGATACATTAAGCACAGCACAATGTAATAAACAGTCACTAACTGAATGGGGATCCATCGTTATTTAAGTTCTCTGAAACGAATACCAAAGTTCTCACAACTTATTCCTCTGGAATATCTTTTTATTAGCTTTAAATTAGCTTCAGTTGGATTTTACTTGATTATATCTTCTCGTTGGCGGCGTGCGTATAAAATGGGCATAAATGTTATTCGAGAATATGAATAAGAGCAGTGCTTTCAATTTTGAAGCATATTTAATTAAGAAAATAAAGGCTCGAAAACTCCTGGAACGTCACAATGTAGTGGTTATCATCTTAGCGAGTTCTTATTTGAGTTAGAAAGTGTTTAATAAAATTATTATGTATCGAATACTTTTCCATGTATATATTTTCGTGTTTATATATATATATATATATATATATATATATATATATATATATATAATTTAATCGGTTAAATGACGTAAGTAAAAAACACGGCCAAATTGGTATTCCAATTAACTTTTCTTATATACCTCGGCACAATTCTGGTGCGGTAGTATGCACAGTCATTTTGTATGTACATAGCAAACTGATTAGATCTTTTGTACAACACAATAACTGACGAAGTACCAAGCTTTCATTGCGGTGAATCGTCTGAAATATATATACAATAAATATTTTTTCCCTTTGTTTTTTTAGCTACTTAGTTTCATAAACTTACATCGCTGTCGACTAGTCGTTGATGATAACTCTTCTTTTTACTGATTTACACAGGGAGTACGACAGAGTCACAAGGAATGTTCCCTGTACGCTGTTTCCCTATCGTCTGCACACATCCTACCTCCATACGAAAACCGCAATAAATAACATTATGTCATCTACCTGTTACTATAGCTATTCAAATTAGTTCTAGCACCATGAACAGAACCGCGTTCTTAAAACGCTTCGGGCTAACGAGGAATGGTTTAGGCTAAAATCAATAGTAACGTTAAAACGATTGAGCTCACCGCTCCCACCCTCCAACCCATTTCGGAGATCTATCTAGCATACATAGGCTGTTAGGCATAGGCTTCCTCTAAAATGATTTAGATGTTTTGGGTCCACTCTTGTTCGGTTTTGTTCCTAGTGGTGTAAGCTTATGATCTGTAGCAGCCAATGACTGTCCGTTATTAAGTGGGATCGCTTCCTCTTTCGCTCCATCTCAGAGGTCGACAGATTCAACAATAGCAATTCCGCAGTCGAGGCGAACCTCAGGTGTGGCTTGGTTACGGAAGACGTTCAGTTTGATCGTACCTCTGTTTCTCGGCGTCCTGTATATGTTCATAACACTTGCAGAGGAACATCGACAAGGGGACGAAGATTCCAGTGAAGGCGTATTCCTAAAGGGTGAGAGACTTCGCGCACTCCGTACGCCCTGTCGATGGCGTTGCATCCGCCGATGTATATGCTGGTGCTGCTGTTCTCGCCTTGTATAAGGTCGATAAATATTTTGACCCCCATCTGGGATGTGCGGAGTGCAGTTATGCGACGTATGCAGGCTGCAGTTGTTGTTATGCTGTGGACTCATAGTTTGAGTCATATGTCCCTGCAGCAGAAGCTGGCCAGAACGGCGATGCGTGAATCGACTGTGCCGTCCACTAGATGAATACGCTTGAAGATGACTTGATGGTCTTCTGCTAACAGAACACGAGTGGGCGAGAAAAATTGCCGAAGTCTGCGAAGGTGTGGCATTATTTGACAAAAACGAACGTCGGTTTGGATTGCGGCGAATTAACGCGCGCAGATAGGCATTGCGCAATAGTGTTTGCACCTATAACAACAAAACATACAGATCAAATTTGCCGCAGCTGTTGCTAACGTATACTGCCTTATGAAACGAAAAAAAAAAAAAAAAAGCCTACTTCGTATGATTGTGGCTGTGTGTTTTTTCCAGGCATACACGGGAGTTTCGATGGCCACAGCAGCTACAGAGACGTAACAATCATAAATAGAGGCTTAAACCTATTGGCGAAGAGCTGTTTGTTGTCAAATCATGCTTAACATATCAGGCATGTTAAGTTCTAATGCTTTGAAAATTAGCTTTGCATAGAAATATCCTAGGGGACAATTTATATAGATAAAACAAAATACACTGAGCGAAATGGCATCGTGAAAAGTAAACAGTTAATAGACCAACCAGTTAATATGGTTTTGTACTACGTTTATATTTTTTATTGAGTAATGGCGCGAAACTGCCTACTACACACCCCTAGTAAGAGGCTAAGTAAAAGATAATACATTGCAATCTTTAAAACGATCCAATTAATTAGAATTCAAAGGGCAACGCGGATTTATTTGAAAGACGTAAAACTAATTTTTTGCCAAGAGCGTAAATGTTATATGAAAAAGATATGAGCAGCGTCTTCGCTACCTTGGGAATTCTGGAAACCTTTTTTTTGTACGCAGTATAACAGTTATCTAATTTAACTACTAAATAAAATTAACTACTAAGTAAAATTACTATTGTTACAACTATAGTAAAACATAATAAAATATCCTATTATAACTATTATATTTATTACTAGTATGATTTCGTATTTACAAGATCAAGATTCTTTACATCATAGTTATTTTCTCTCTAAATATTTTATGATTTTTTTATGTATATTTTGTATTTCTACATACATTCTCAATATATGAAAGGTTTCTGCGTGAACGGGCTCTAATTTTTTCAAATAGCAAAATGACAAGAGGGTTAATTGTATTTTATTCAGCATCAAAACTGCAGTGGATCTGCACTATCTCTTTTGCTGAAGGCCAGATATGGGAAATTTCGTTTTCATTGGTTTTAAGTTACAAGCGTGTATTAAAATTGGCTTACGCCCTTTTGAATGGAAAGGCTTACTTCTTTGGCTTTCTTTTTAACCTAGTCTCCTAGCGCTTAGTTTGTAACATTGTCGCTAATATGTTGCTAAATATTACAGAGTTCAATAGAGTTTAGAAAATACATTTTACTCAAACCAGGGAAAAAATTATATATAGTCAAGGCACTTCTACACGGACGCTTTATCCTCGTCCACCCTTGCTTTTCCTCTACCCAAATTTCGCAGAGCTCCTATCGCAAATTTCTTTGAGACATTTTTTTAAGATGATTACAGTCACCGAAAAGATTCAGATCGACTTATACCTCCTTGCACGGAAACCCTTCACCTAACACATGACAGCACGGTTACCGGTGTTTTTCATGACACATACCATCGAAACTATAATCAATAATTTATCTGTTGAACAGCCATTTTACAGTGTGACTCACTTCAGAATTCATAAAGCAGTGTATCACAGATACGAAGACTCCCTGAAATAAAAAAGCACAATTATAGAAAAGGCTTAATTAATCATGATTGTAAATTCAACAAAGTTTCGTTATATGCATTCAAGGGCTCCCTGCCTGTAGTTGAAGTTCCGCTCTAGCCAATGGTATCCCGCGAGTATATCCTTTTCTGTGATATAGTCGATATAATCATCTACGATATAACGTAACAAAGAGACTTCTATATATTCGGTACCCTCTAGCCATTTTAGATGCCTGGCATGCCTACACATCTGCAACTGTTGTTCTTATTACCGCGTTATTCGTTAATAAAAAAAACTCTGACGTTGCCCCTAAGTGCGGCTTTAGCTAACATAAAGCAACACACAGATAAACGACCTAAGCAGCAATATATATATATAAACTGTTACTGACGGTCCTATGCATACAAATCTAAACCGCATTTACCTAAGGGTTACGATATTATTCACGACTGCGGCGCGTATCTTCACATTCGACTGCGGTACTGGACTATGTTATACAAACATATAGCCGTATATTCTTTCCGTTCATGGTCAGCTGTCAACAGAGCACGGCTAGGAATGAATAGGATAGCTATATGGAGCCGCTCAACTTGCTATGGCAAATAGTCAGTGCCAACACGACTGCTATTTCTCGGAAAAACCCATCGTTGTCTTTTTTACCTCTATTAAAACTCTTGTGTCGTCCTTAAACTCTCTGTCGGGAGACTTTTCCTCCTTGAACCGCGGTTCTATGTGTCGTCATGACCATATTATGCAGCTGACGGTGCGCGCTTCCGCGTACTTCCGCAGCATCTCCCCGCCCGGCGTTTCCACAACCAACAAAAGAATGTCTTTTTGCCATTCGACGTTCTCACAGCGAAAAACGCAATTACAATGGCATCCTCCACAAGCTCTCGTCTGTCAATGTATTGAGGAAAAACGCGGTTCAGGGCGGCAGCATTTGATGTAAGCGGTGTTCCTTTGCCACCAAAGAATCCAGCTTTTGCGTGACAGTTGTAATCGTGTGTTCAACCAACCCGTTAAATCGTGGGTGTCCGACAGCCATTTTGATATATCCGACTTGATTTTAGTCTGAGGTGGTTTGGAAACCGCCAGCATGTGAAGCAGGCTGCGCTGCCCGTCACACCGATCTCTAAAGTCCCAAAAAGACCGCTGCGCAGCTTCCAATACCCGAATTACGGAACATGACGTCGCTTCCCTAAAACGGCGCGAGATGGACAAAGCGGGTGCCATAGTCAATCACCACCAATACCTAGAAGGTTTTACTGCCTAGATTCTTCGAGAGGCTCATGAAATCTAAAGCCACTGGCACGTGCTTCTGGCCAGCATCTCCTGATCTGCATTCTGAGCCGTGCTCCGAAACAGAAGCTCTTTTTGACGCGCTGCAACGTCTTCTAAATACCTACAGGTCTTGTCATCCTCCTTAGATGCTTACATGTTTTGCCATACCATTACAGTCGGACAGAGTGATGGTTTCCTGTACCTGTTTTTTGTGTTTTCAAGCAGCTAGGCATTGTTTCAGAAATCTCCCTCCTTTTCGACTAAGAAGGCCAGATCATCCATAGGTACATCCGGCAAGACGCGAGTTTGTCCGTCGGGTTCGGTGATCGTCCTAAGAAGGGGGTCTTTTTTATGCGCCTTCTTAACCCTCTCCAATTATAAGGTGCCGCTCTGTACAAACGACACAACCAGACATGGCAAAGCGTTCGCATTAACGATGACCTCGGTCAGAACCTAGGCGAGTTAACTTTGGGCGAAGGTTCGCCTTCAGATACTCTTATGATATAGACACAGCACTTCCTAGGTCTTCTTTGCCTTAGTATTTCCTTGCCTTCAAGCGCAGGCTGGCTGAGTCGATAACCGCTGCTATTTTTTTGCAAAGGAATGATGTGGATGTCATATTCAAATGAGTTGACCTCGACTTCATCGAGGTTGGTGAGAGCCATCTGGTATCTCAAAGCCCCAAGGACCTTGCCCATTAGACGCTAGAATGTCGAGGTAGCGTTGTTGGGTGCCGATTCTCGTGGTATGGTAGCGCGAGCATCTGCAAATCCTTCGAAGCAATGAATTATTATTCTCGCGCGCTTTTTTGGTATTCCTTAAAAAAGCCTTAAGTATACGTTAGCCCCAATTGGACCACTAAAAAACGTTTATTTTGGGTGAAAGGGTAGAAATTTATTTTCTCTCGTTTCCTGCGGGCATGGTACACTGATCAACCGCCACTTCTTCTACTTCTAAAAAGGCGGCTTGTTCTGATGGGCAATGGATTTCAAGTAAAATCCATTTGCCAGTAGTCGCGTAGTCTAACTGTGGCAGGACGAGTGGATGAGTTCCAATGATAACCTAGGTAATAACGTACTCTCTTGTTAATCTTAGGAGGACGTCATGGTATAGGTTCGACCCTACGCATAGAAATACTTCGTCTTGTAGTTGGATCCACCCGTATAACGGAATGTTCTATAACGGAATGTCGTATGACGGCAATGGTGGACGTAAAGTTCGAAACTTTAGGTCAGATGGAGAAACCGACGGTGGAGCCACTCTTGGACTATCTACGCCGACAGGCGAGACGTGAAAGCCTTGAACACAGGGCCCGTTTCCGTTGCGCCTTCGTTGGCCTGAAACTCTTATTTTAGGAAATACCTTACGAATGAAGCCTACACCGATAAACTGTTCCATGTATTTTTTTAAGCAGTCTATATAAGCTAGTTCAAAAGCTCTTTGCAACCACTTGCTGGTTGTGTTGACGAGAAGTATCCCATTAAACAGAAAGGTTTTATCTAAAAAACACGAAGAAAAACCTAAGTAAATAGAAATAAATAGCGGAGAACAATAGCATTGTTATTGAAAACAGTTGAGAATGCGTGAAGCACGCAATGTAAAGACTGGTTATAATGTGAAGTCGTTGCGCAATCGATGTGGAGTTCGTATGTTTAGAGTGGGTTTTTAAAAGGCAATTGGTCCTCTCATTTTCATCGATTCGAAACTATGTTATTAGGTATTTTTTCATGAAAACGGTTGGGAATTTATTAGACCTACTTTACTAGTTTTCTGGCTTTGATAGTTGCGTAAAACTTTGAAAATGTAGGTCAATTTCTCCTTGATGGAGATGAAACTACATAGCTTCAATAGAATAACATATGAATGGTACCTGAGTGACGGGTTGCTGATCATAGGAAAATGGCTTATTTATATACAGTCAAGGCCACAAATAGGTATTATGAAAGATGAATGGGTTTTTTTTTAGGACTCGAAAATAAGCCTATTTTATAAAAGTACATTTTATTATTCTCAAAAGCTTGCGAGCAATAATTTATATGCTCTCATGACAATTTGAAACGGTGTTAATGACAGTAGAGAGCATTAAAAGGTGCGACGACTCGGCCAATATAAAATAGGGAAAATAATAACGCTCAGCCATAAAGTAAAACACTTTTTCATTCCGTTTTCCGTTCTTTTTTCCAGCGTTATTTTCGCGTGTGGCATTACTTGAATGATTGTTACTTAACCCTTATCAAGCTGCCAGCCCATACCCATTAACTACACTTGGCTCTGCCGATATAGACGCACAACGGTAATTCAAGGCACCATTCGTTTTATTATAACAATATTGAGAACTATTAACGCACACTCTTCAAGAAAGTCTCCTGTCTTCTTAAAAAAACAATGAAAGTTGTTGAACCGCCCCGATAGTTCAACTGTTCCGCCAAGGGGTTGTAAGTCCACTTCGTGCAACTCCTTCGAAGTTTCACTTTGTACTTTAAGGACTCATTTGCAACCGTCGTCCCTTATCGCCGAGAAACGAGTGACAAAACGGTAAACACACGCAACCGCGCCCAACAATAGGGAGCAGTAACTGGGCCAGTCAGAACCGCGCGACTCACCAATATACCATATATTCATTTGCCGAAAACGCAAATGTTGTCCACCGAGGCGGCCTGGTCCGTTGCTTTTTTCTGCAGTGCAATGTACAGGATGGAAACGAAAAAAGTTAAAAAGGCTGGTTATCCAAGTTTCTATTAGAATTAGGATATTTATACCGTCTAGCGAGAAATGAGCGGCAGAGCTCGGGAAGAGAGCCTCTCATGGTTCCACTATGTAATTCTTAAGGCCAGCACTCCTGGCGTCAATGCTGCGGGAACATACCTTACAAAGTCGTCGCCCGTTAATAGAAGTGGAACCTGTTACCTATAATCCATCTATTCAGCGTAGCGCCACATTTCCCGTTAATGGTTCTACAGTTACGGTGGCTTTGCTTGGCAGTAGTTTGTCTTTTTTAGACTGATCTGGTTGCTGAACATTCAGCTCTGGGAGTCTGGTTGAGTCGGCTGAGTTTGCCCTATCGCGTCGTTGCCATCTATGGTTCTTGGGTGAACATCTACTGACTCTTTCCTCTGTCGGTCGTCAGGATTCTCACACCCAAAAAAGGCTTTGTCTTCTCGGTAATGTTCTAGGCAATCTTTCAGGCTACTTCATCTTCACAGCTATATATATATATACATATATATATATATATATATATATATATATATATATATATATATATGTAGTAGTCCCAACAAATCCCTCATTTTCTTAACCGGCTTTGTTTGTAATAATGTTATTTGTCGCTTTGCAGTCGTCGGCAAAGAAGGAAACGGAGAGCACGTATACTTCTGATTCGGGTCGCAGGATAACTAACGTCTCCAAAAAAACTCTCTACCCTGCTGATATGTTTTTTTTCTTAATTTTAAGCATTCTTAATAACCAGCGTGTAAAAAAACGGTACTTTGGTATTTTTGTATGACCCATTGGTATCTTTTAATAAACTTCTCTGCTTTACACACGATGCTGTTCATGTCCATTTTCGGCGCCGCACGAATAGTCAGTGACGTTTTGTTTGGGCGAATCTTCCTCAGCTGGGGGTCGAAGCACTGCAGGACGCTCTCGCCTAACACTAACACTGTTTTCGGTAAGAGAGTAGGGGTTGCGTCTTCTAAGGGTCTCTTAGAGGTTTCTCAGATTTTATTCGTGTTCGTCCTGAAAGTTTAACTTGCCCTTCTAGCTTTATTACTCTATCAAGAGAGCATATTTTTAGTTCACTAATATTATTTCAAAATATATATGTTTTCTCCAATTGCGTATGGAAACGGTCAATAATTTTTCAACTATCCGATAATACAACGGGAGACCTTATAGCATAAAATTGGGACTGTAGCTTGAGGTTTATCTATCTATTAGTCGCTGGAGCCGGGAAAGAGCTGGAGTATAGTATAGATCTGTGGGCCGCGGACGTCACAACAGCCATTGGAGTAACGTGAAAACGATTGTACAAATAAGAGAGCTAAGCGCATCTTCGTCCTCCCCGATTGAGAAAAGCTATTCTTGTTATGGGGAATGGTAACGACGATTGGGTTGGATGATATGGCTTTAGCTGGCGAGCTTGCTTGTACTTGTATAGCAACAAAACACGTTCGAAATAAAAAAAAAAAGGAACATGCTTGTTTGTAACGAAATTCAATAGTACTTTTAGATTACTTGCAGTTTTAATCGATTAACATAATGATTTTTTATATCGATTTTGGTATTGCTTAATTCAAACACGATGTTTTTGTGAATCTATACGTATACTATTGTCCACGGTGAACAAAAACGTTTTTTTTTTTACAAAACGTAATAAATCCTGTTTGCAAATTGCGACAGGTACGTACCGACTTTCGTTCTTAAGCAACGTAATGAATTAATGCTTCAAATAAGAAAAAGGGAACAAACATTTTAAAATTATAAACAAATGTAAATGTATGAATTATAAAGGGAAGTTGTAAAAATAAAGGTTTCTGGGTCTTAATTCGAGTCAGCGGATTATCTATTTTTGCTGTCTTGGTCATGTTTAATGTTCGTATAAAAGTACTTGACGCACCAAAACTTATAACATGGACTAGTGTTGTTCAGTCGAATGTGGCTCTACATGACACAGCTCCACCGTAAATGTCAAAATAATAATATCTTATTGAACCGCAATAGCAGCCTTAATGAAATAGTTATCAAGCAGGCTTACACTGATTAATTGATATCGTACAGATGCCCAATAACGTCGTGAAGGTCCGTAACACGTAATAATACGTTAATTAGCTTTACAAAGGTCGTACCTGTTAGCCATTTCTGCTGTCCTGTACGATTAGATATTACTTATGAAATAATTTTGACGTCACGTTACGTTACTTACGAGCTACGAGAAGGTTAACAAGACTTAACTGGCTCACAACTCTGCTGGCGGAACTGTTCCAGCAGGTCCGAAAAGGTCTAAGTAATGATCACCTTTTCGAGTGAGCGCCCAACCAAATAGGCGTAACGTCGAGCGAATCCAAGTATTCCGGCGATTTACAAAGACACACAACATCTATATATAACAAAACCAGTACCTTGCGTGAGCTCTTATTATTATTCGCAACGTTCTTAACAATGTCCTCGGCTTTCGACAGTTGCCGAAGTATTGTATTAAAATTGTTACCGAGGCGTCGGTACCTGCGACAACGTATGTACGGGGACAAATAGCGCTTATCATGCGCAGTAACGTGATGGTACGGTCAAGTGGTTATTAATAGGAACTTGACAGACGCCGTATAGGCTTCATCCAAAAGCAGAATCAAACAAGAGATTTTCTCTTGAGAAATCTGTTGAAGATTATTCGCATGCGACGTTCGGGTGTGATCATTGTCTAACGCGCAAAGCCCTAAATGTTCACTCATACCCGGCCTTCAGATGTAGGTGATGGCTTTATTTTTTCCGGACCCCTAATATATGTTTCTCGTGTGCATCACCTTAGGATTGCGCCTGCATAACCTTACCAAAGTCTGCTTTTTTTTTGGATAGTGTAGGCGTATAATTATTCACAAGCAGCTATCAGGCCAAAACATTATGATCTATGTGGTTCAAGAACAAACCCCATAGGCTATGATATTGATTAAGCTCTAAGTGCCAGAAAAAAACTAAAAATACACTATAATTTTTTCATTAATAAAAAGCCAAGGGCAGGATCATTTTCAAAATAAACCCTTTGTTTGAGCCTACAGAATTCAACAAGCCGTATTGATACTATTGGTAATAGGTCCTCCAATGTGTTAACACAGCCAATTTGGGCCCAAGCTAATTCCTTTGCCACTTTACCTGAGAGGATTGTAACACAGCGTTCACAATCATATAGAGGCCATTTAACTTCTCATCGTAGTCCTGAGGGCTGATCCCATACAAGAGGTGGGTAGTACCAAGCAATGGAAATAACAGCACTGTTGCCTTCATTGCTTTTCTGCAATTCAGTAATTAATTAAGAAAGTGAATCGTCAGAATACTTTTTTCTCTGCTTAACTCTTGAGTAATAATGATGACTTACCTAAATTGCTTATTCTCAGCCGTGACGCATTTTACCCTCGTCACAAGGATGCGAATTATGTTCATCAGAAAGACAAAGTTAATCTGAAACAGAAACATTGAATTTTCTATTTTATTTAGTAGCAAAACAAATCGTCTTTTTATAAAATGATCAAAAAACTCGCTTTAATTAATACACAAATATATAAATGGATTTATCGTTAGAAGGTACGAAACATGAGTCTGATGTTCATTACACATGCTACCCTCGAATGTTTTCTTTCTGTAGCTTTCGGCTAGCCGCTTGTTCGGCTTATCGGCTGCATCTAACAAATATGACGTATATAACATACTGGATACGTGGCGTCCTATGGAGTTAGCACAAGTTGTTCAATTCTAATAAAGCTGCGGGCCTATCGACTCAATACTTTCTTGTGGATTTGAATGGATTACATGGCATAGAACCATCAGTTTAAGGCAGAGTGCTTTGTATACTGTCCTTCGTTGCGTTTACACAAAAATGTTTGATCATCTGGCAATGCGCCTTGAACTAGCTACCCGACATATAAGTGACGCTCACAGATAGACTTCAGAAGCCGAGCTGAGGCAATGTGCGATGCGCTGCTGTCCAGTATCGTTTTAGTTGAGGCAATAAAGGTCCTGAAGCCACTTACCGCTTAGAGGTGTGAGTAAGTGTAATAATGGAAGGTTTCTGTGAAGTTTCGATAGTGTACGGTGTCCCCGTCGAGCACTAAAGGCATTTAAAAAAAAAAACCCATTTTACGCAGGACGTTGAAGCTCCCTGTGTCAATCTTCTAGAGAACGTCTATGGAATAGAGCGTAGACCTATAGTCGTTAAAGACAGGCAAAACCAGATGTAGGATAACCGACGCGAGATCTTGTCAGATTCCCCCTCCAGTCATTTTTTTTTACCAGAATAGCACACACCACGCAAGAGAACGCAAGGAACGTTCGACCAGTCGGTACTGAAGGAACGCCTAAAAGCAAGGCAGCTTCTTTTACTGCTTGTCGTCTAGATTTCGATGCAAGTAATAATTTCATATTATTTCCGTTCGTTCCTGCGTTAACTTGCATGTTTCCTAGCTTTCTTGACATCAAAAATGCTTGGTCATCTTCCGCTTATTTTTTGATAAACATCATACATCATGAATCAGGGCTTTTTTGGCTATCTGCCCCTTTTAGTTCCCTTTGCAGAACCTTTCTCCACGTTAAAGATAACTGCTTCCGGTTTCAGTTCGGAATTAATTTTTATTATAGATTTTCTGTTATTGAAGTTTTCGTCGAGCCTCTTGTGTACGCTTTGTATCCCTCTACTTGTACTGCTTCGGTGCACAGCGACAAAAGGCCATCGTCGTCCTTGCCTTGGCGGCAGGTCTCGTTTCACAGAATCATATCAATATCATTTTGTGGCTCATTGACGTCTTTTGAAACGACAAGCTTCATTCCGACTCCTTTTGCATGATGGCTACGTACGACTTGTGTGGTCGTGTCTGGGAAGCTTCGATAGTAGATGGCAACTTTACGATCGTACCTGATACCGAACCGCCTCACTCTGCTGATTGCTACATGGAGGTGCTTGAGCCATTGTGAGGTTGTCGACTTCGATAAAGTCCGATCAAAGACCATTTTAAGTCTACAACCTACGTTCCTCGAAGTTCTTCTAGTGACGTCAGCAAAAAGAAACGGTAAAAGACGCGCGTGTCGTCAGTGTTCATCGATTCGTAAGGAACAAATTGTTCAAGCTGGCTTTGGCAAAATTCTCAAATTATTTATATAAATTAACGAAAAAGCATTCCTAAGCTTAAGCGACTGGTCAACATGATGAAGTTTAGAGATATAGTGTTTAGCCCATATTCTTAGTTAACTATTTCGCCTTCGAGTCACATATTCTAATAGATTGCTTATATACCTGTATTTGATATAATATGCGACACGCACGTTTAAAGCGTTCATTTTTTTCAATATGTTTACTATTATGTAGCCATAGATGCTAACTACATATTTTCCTTTATTAGTTTCATAGTTGAATGATTCTATAAGGGACCAAAACTCACGCTATTCGTTTTAAGCGCTTTTTTATGGTTCTGATTGGACTCGAATACTCCCAATGTATCGATTATATAGCTGCACAATTCAACATATGCTTTCATAAAATATATATTACTTACTTATTATATTTTAAAGTCATTTATGTCGATGTGGTCCTTAGGAGTGTCGACAAATTCTAACTGTTATAAGTAAAATTGTCACGATATAATTAAAATCACGGTTTGGTTTTTCTAGAAAAACAAGCCGCTAAAAATAGTTATTTGAAACAGTGATATGGTACAATTCTTATCAAATCAGAACGTTTTGTCGGCGTAGCGTACTGAGATAATTCTTCAGTGTTGGCCGGAACCGATTTGAACGTTTTCTAAATATGATACTCCCTATTTAATTATAGTATGTCACTTAACTATAGTCGAACATTTATGAACAGATGTATGCCGTCCTTGAAATAACAAGCGGTAAGGCCTTTGAATCATATAGGAATACGAATTTGTGTGTTTCGATCTAGCCTGTATATGTCCTTGATTTTCTGAGCGCCACAAGGACAAGCAACGTTTGAACAGCCCGCAATAAAAACAAGTGGACCCCTTCAAGTAGCGAAAATTTGGATTGAAAAAAAAAACGGATTGCGACATTTATTTTGCTATTCGACATATGCTAGAATATTTGTGAGTGACATTGCCGGGAATAGATGATGACGCTTATTGCTCCTGAACAACGTCCTGCTGGTATACAAATTATGAGATTTACTTGTTCCTCAAGTAGGGAACCTATGCGGCGGCACGCCAGCTGTTGTCATATGCTCATTGTGTCAGTTGACCTCATTTCGTCAAAGTTGTTTTACCTCTTTAGTAGTTCTTTAGAAGGGACCGACGCTGTTTTGTCAATATTGAGAGTGACGATACTCACGAGCAGTACGACTAGTTTAGGTCCTGTGAGAAGCCAAACGACATCATACGATCGATAGCCCTCCCAACACGTCGAATGGGGAAGTATCTCCTGCATTTTAACTCCCCATGCTACGATCAGTATCAGCGGAAAACCTGCGACAGCCATAATTGATGATAGCAGCATAAAATGAGTTACAGCCTTCATCACATATTACCGATGGTAGGTGAGTAAGAACAGTGTCACGAAGGTTTAATAACGTTTTTGGATGTTGGAAATGTGGAACGCTGGTGCAGAAATCATTTTTACATACAGTTAAGAAAAAAAAAAGGTGTTGATCAAACCAAACGCAAAGACAGGAAGGCGATGTCATTGTGACGAGAGAAAGGAGACGTAGACACAGTTCAGCCCGACATGCTTGCCGAAGTGGACGGGTCTCGTTCTCCATGAGGTCAAACAGGCGGTGGTTGCTAACAAACAAAGCTGATCGACGGGGATTCTGGAATGGGTTAAGCTAAGTACCAACGAGAAGAAGAAAGAGCAAAAGAATATAGCTCAAATGGAAAATGTGTAGACATAAATACTATCTCTCTCCAATTCTGAAACAACTAAACAAATTATAGCGAGTTGCAAAGTAGAAATAACGTTGACTAACAAGAGCAGGGGCAATGTAAACGTATACAGCTCAAGTGAACGATGTGTTGTCGATAAAAATGAAGCCCTTGAAGGCTGTTTTATCACAGCCTCCTGATTAGCTTCCCTAATGAATGTGGATATCTTTTTTTTTCGTGGTGTATATAATGAAACACAAAACGCCGTATCTCTGCTTAAAAAAATATTGACCTTTGCAGTGAAACAAAGCTATGAATCGATACGGTGCCATCTGATCGGCACAATCTTCAAAATGACGCCAACGAAAAAAAATTGAATATATATAGTACATCTTTCGTTATCACAAACTAATCACTGAGCTTTTTTTAAGTTTTTTTCACGACGCTTCTGACCAGGTGATTGTTTCTGTGTCATTAGCAGCTGTAGTAGAACCGAAGTGGCTTACCCCAGCCGATAAAATAATAAAGTTTAAAAGGTGCCTCTTGTTGAAAAATGGACGTTGTAATGCGTGAATGCAGTTGAATCCCCTCAACGAACATCCAGTTGACAGAAGCCATTGACGAGTAGAGTTTGATACATAAGGATATCTTGCACGCCGTCGGCTGTAACGTAAACATCGTAACGGCAATTTTTACTGATCCATGTTATATATGCCGTTATCACCATTGGCCTCTTTCACGATGAATACTCTAGATCGGATTAGCGTCCACCAATTTTCGGGTGCGTGCCCTTATGTTATGAGTTCTGTAACTCTATAATTATAGGGCTACCTATGTATTAAAGGATTGATTGTCATCAGGTAGGGTTTAAACGTTTTCTAGAAATGAAAACTCATTCATCTCTACGGTACCATTAAGAGACAAACGTATCTACCGGACGCGTGTGACAGGCAAATATTTGTTATAGATTTGGCCTGCGCAGTCTATGAAAAAAGTGAACTTTATTTGTACGTCTTATCAACGTACACCTTTGGTAAGTTACTATGCAATGAAGGTATCATATGATTAGAAGTCCATTAGAATATAACACATGTCCTAATGGACTTAATAATTGTACCTGCAAGATGTAAGAAGTTTACGACATATTGGCTCTGCGCCTTAGCGATTGAGCTTTGTTGAACAAAAATCAGTCAGCTTTTTGCTATCCAGAGCTAATAGATCGTATTCATGCTAATCCGATTGGTAACCTTAAACTATTCAGAACGTATTCCTAGACAAAGTATACAAAAATCATTTATGTATTCATTTTTTTTTTAAAGAAGGTTATTATAGGCCTTAGGCAGATAAACAACCATCACTCCAGACGTTCAGAATTCCCATATGAATTGAAGGGCATTATGCTTCCTACGTGAAGCCTCCTGTGGGCTAATGCTTCGAACGGTTTGTACTTGGCTTTGAAATCCGCATCTATAAATAGGTTGTTGTCAAATAGGCACCAAATCGTGAGCTGCCGATAGGTTATTTAATATCGCTTCAATGATCACAAAGATAGTGGATAAAATAAAAATTCTGTTATAAGACAGGTTCCTTACTAAAAATGCCACTTTGTAAATTTTAACAGATTTCTTACGGACGGTTGAAATTGATTACCACGCCTCTTTTTCTTGAGGAGGTGATAATCGCACTTCGCGACTATGACGCGTCTTAGTAAATTCGTCCGTAGGATCTTTTGTCTTAGATTGCCGAACAATTTTCATTAAAAAAGGTATTTTTGAGATACATTAGTTAAAGTACACCAAACGATCGGTTTTCTCAAAAGGTGCTTAAAAGAGTTAAAGCATCCTTTCCGCAATCTGCTTAGCAGCACTATATAAAGTAGAACTAGATATAGTATAAACTACTAGCAGTAGTTGAAAATAATGATATTGCCTAGAAACGATATTAGGCTTTAATAGGTGCTTACCTCATTGCGGACATTTGGCAGTCGATAGTCGACAAAAGTTGCTTTTTCTGTATGACCCCTGATAGTTTCACTGTTGGCGTCGCCATTCGCTAAAGGACTGAAGGAATCATAATGGTGGTTGACGACAACGGGCAGAGTGATAATGGTGAGCAGAAGCGAGTTGACCAGCAGCGCCATCACGAGGTTGAGGTGAACGCGTGTCCGCGAACACCTAAGTGAACTGCTTATAGAGAGATATCACAAATTTCGACCATATCATCATTTCTAAATGTCGATAAATCAGACCAATGTCATACATCTTTTGCCGCAGCCTCTATCTACTGCATGCAGTGTTGGTGCATACTTGTCGCAGAAGGCGAGCTTCGCAACTTCAATCGTGAGATGTTCTTGCCAACATGAATGACAATAGTTAACACCTGAGGCTGACGCATTATGCAGAAAAGTGGAACAACTTGATATATATGACGAAGCCTTAATTAATTATTACCACAGCTGTGACCCAGGACTTTCAGGGTATTTTATAAGGGTAGATTGCCGCGAACGGAAAATCCCCACAAAGGAGTCGAATGTCTGCGGGAAGCTTTGTAGTTTCAGTGCAATCAAATGTAATGGGTTATATAATTCGACCGAAATGTACTTAGTAAATATGGAAATAGCAATTGACAACGATTTGTCTAAAAAAAAAGGGATATATAGCATTATAAGAATATTTTAATACTGAACGGTCGTTAACATAAAGCTTCCCCGAAAGCATCTGTACAAGCATTTAGATAACATAATATCGGACTGTGAAAGGCATAGAAGATCTTACAGCTATATATTCAGAGGCCTGAACGTTCTCTTGGCATTAAATAGTATTGAAAAAAATTAACGTGACTAAGGCACAATATGCCCAGGTTGTGGCAAATTCCTAATCAGGTCAATAAAAAAAAAACGCCTTTTTCTTAGAGCTCAAATCGGATTGCGAATTTACATTAGTTGACACCGTCGCTAGGCAACAACTGTCAAAAGAAAGAACAGTTAGGCCTCCTGTTGCGCTTTTAACTCGCTTTATGTTGCCGTTTTCTATTTAGTACGCGCACGAGTCAATTGTTCTATTTGAGTGGGGTCACGGCACCTAGAAGCTACGTATGATGAGCTCATCCATTTCGACTGCAATAACAGACGGCATGTACACATGAAGCGAGAATTAAGGGGCAACATGTACGGAGCCGGCCAGTCTAGACGGCTAATGCGCGTCTCATTAAAAGCGCCGCCATGATAATCATGAGGATATGGCCTCACTTCCTATTTTTAGCAACCTATAGCAATTTAATAGTATGGCACGTCGTTACCCTGTTGTTTCATAGGTCAATTGAAGAAACCCTTCTAGGTAAGTGCAGCGATTCCCATTCCACTAAACCTTGTAGCAAAAAGAAGGTCTTTTGTGCTCAACCAAACAAGTAATTCTGAGAATCTGTTCACGTAAAAGAGATAGCTGAAGGCGTCAAAGACATACGACATCTATTTAAAGATTGTTAGCAAATGTTTTGTATCAAAATCACAATAACATGGCACCTATGTCATGTTGTTGATAGGTCAAACAGTCGAGGATTCTTAGGAAAGTAGCGTGTCACGTTCAAATACAGAATACTAGAAATACGCTTTGAAGGTGCGCCTTCGCAGCTGAGGTTCTGCCAGCACGATAAAACGCGTGACAGAATTGTGCGTAATTCTTACGCATCTGTGTACTATTTTGGCATGTATTGGCAAGGTCTAGGCCAAAAAAGGACACCAATAAAATCTTTACCTATAAAGTCTAAAACGTGATACCAGTAAATCGATATTGCAATTTAACGTTAGAGTACTAAAACCGTAACGATAAAACTATAAATGCCGTTCAACCCAGTCAGCTTCTATGCATTCATTAGCTCATAGCGTATTCGCTGTGGCTGGGATCAGCGTTCACAAATCATTGCAAAACATACGAAGGCCGCTCTCTATTAACAAGTTTAAGCTTCAGCACGATTTCTATTGACAGTTGACCAGAACCAATAATGCCTAAAACGAATGGCCTTCTGTATTGACTGTAGAGTGAGCCACCGACTCGTAAACTTAAATCCCGATACGGAAGCGACGGTCACTCATAGCGTATCCCCTTGTACAGCCATTTTTCCAAAGCTCATGCTTAACGCTAGTCTTTTCAAATGACCTCGTTTTGAGAATAGCTACTGATGCTAATTTAAAATATAGCGCTTCCTGACTAGCCACGGGGAATTCTTGTTTCTGCTGTATCGGGTCAAATGATTTTGTAGCCTACAACGTTTATTGGAGAAAACATGTGTGTAGATCAAGACTAGAGAAGCGAAACGACTTTGATCGTCCCGGTTCAACTGTTTTCTGTGCCGGCTTTTCCGGCGTGCTGCGTAGAAGTACTGCTTGTACCTGAAGTACGTGAAGATGAACACCGACGCGGCGAGAAAAATGAGAGATACGACTGAGAAGGCAGACACAATCGTTGCAATAGCTATCGCGCCGGATGGTAGAGCCCCCGTAATTTGCTGGAATAACACATCATACCAAATGTTTCAATATCGTCGACTGTCAGCTAGAAATTCAAGCCTGCATAGTTAAAAAATGCAATATAGTATATTGGAAAAAGGGGTCAGGCATATGCTTTTAATTACAATAAAATTACGTAAACAGTAGATTAGAACTACTAGAACAGTGCCTCAGAGACTCTCATACGAACATTTCACTACTTCTACAAATTTGTTATATAACTGTAATTGTCAAAGCTATGACCTACCGTTGGTGGTTAGTGGGACAAATGCTGATAGGAAGTTGTGCGATAAGCTTTCCAATAAACATGTGTTTTATTATTTATTTACATTTTGGTGAATTATATCGCTTATACCTATATCGGCAGCTTGATGTGGCATAGATAATGACAATGGCGTATTCTACGATCCTCACTGTGGAACCCGAGGTAAATGGCCGGATACTTTGCAGAAAAAGCTGTTCGCCGAGTTTCCGTTCTTGGTCATCCAAGGGATGTTTAAACGAAACCCGGCTAGAAAAAGAAGCTTCGTTGAGTACGGTCATGTTAGGAGTAACATGTGGATGTGTTTCTTTACATTTACAATTTTCCGTGCTTCCAATGTCGCTCCCCACCTGCATGCTTACGGATACTACGGTAGGTGGGTCAGAAGATAATTTCTGGGTTTCGGAAACACGTTTTTGTTTTCTATTTTTTTTTACATTGCCAATTGAAGCCAATTTAGCGTGCGGAATCGAGTATAAGTGTGTGTCAACCAGCTTATGGTATTTCAGATTCTCATAGTAGAGCGCCAAATCCATTTAAGGTGTCAATGTAGGAGCTTATCAAAAATATAAATATCTTTTTAATTTTCAATATCAATGTAACGAAAAATTGACTTCTTTTTCTATCGTATCAGCAAAAATACACATCTGGCCAGGTGAGCGGCAACGGTCCCTTCACAAAATTCACGTAAGACCCGCTTTCCTGCCCTTCAGAGCTTCCTTGGTGCATGCAGGTAATTCAGGACAATTTTATACCTAACCTTTAGCTGTGCAGAAAGCTCTTGAAATTGCTGGGCCACATTTCCACGCATTAGAGGAGTCTGTAGTTAATCGCCATTGGCTTCATACAGCTGACTGGAGTGTGGCTTATGGTTCCAAATTGAATTTCCAGCTTTATGGCTCTGGAGTTAGTTTTGGCACACACTGCCAAATATTGCTCAGCTTATTTTAATCTTGTCAGAAGATTCTCTCAGGTGCGAATCTTCCAGCAGGAAAGTTCTGAACAAATCTGCGATCTTTTTTCCCCACGATCCAATCGCATAGAAGGCTTCTACTAAAACTTCCGATAAAACCTAAACAGCGTGGCAAACGCTGAACAGTTTCAAAAAGGAGCGGGTCAATTTTCCACCCAGACGAGCAGATAGCAATGTTTAAAAGATCAGAAAAATTATTTCGTGACAGACCTAATGTTCCGGGCATGTTACCTATCTAAAAATAACTAACTGACATGTTCATTGCTCGCAAACGGTACCTCTCGGTGAATTTACAACGAACTTCGTCCTAAGTTTAGACACAAGTGCTATGGCATCCCACCTGAATATGCTTTAGTTCCCATCTGCAAGGGAGCTCCAACGTAATCAAGCGTCAATCCTACTTGTCCATGCAATACTAATTTTTCGATTAATCCTGCTGTACGCTGTTTCACCTACTATGCAATCTATCATCTACTATCGTTGTCCTAGATAGTCAGAAGATCAAAATAACCGTTACGATATATGGTGGAAGAACCCTGGGTATCACAAAGCTCGTTGAGCAAAGAAGACAAGAACGAATCTAAGAAATAAAGTACTAACACTAAAGTAAAACAACTAATGGAAGTTGATATCGACTCACATCATCACCTAGCGCTGCAATGCATGCATTGTAGTTGGTTGTATTCTGCAGCCATCCCAACGGAGTGCATAAACGGAACGCGAATGATTCGGCTTCACCTGAAATAATTCATTACGTAAGTTACTTGACTAGAACGTACCGTTTCGATACGCGTTAAGTGTTCCATATTTGAAGATCCGAATTAGCTCTCTATTGAGTTGTATCATTTCTGGACAAGTCTTTTCCATTAGCATAAATTAGTACTGTGGAGTTGTATAAATTCAGACTACGTATACATCGAAATAGTGAGTGGCCAAGATTATACATGTTTAAATCGAGATTTTTCCTTAAGTAAGTTTTGTTACTACAGCTATTCTAAATGATCCTATTCACATGTACCCAAATGTTATTCCTGGCCATTATACATGCTCAATCTGGCTACCATTCATTACGATTACAGCTTCAAATCTTGATTTAAATCACTCACTAGTCAGTTCCAACATAGTCGTCCATTGAGGATCGTCCAGTTTACCTCATAAAAATCTTCCTTAAATGTCTCTCAAGTAGTATGGAAGTTGGCAATAACATAAAGCATCGCTTTTGAGCAAAAAAAAAAAAAGAGATGTTTTTGACCATGGTGGGAATTTGTCCAGTACGAAGATCATTCTGACTCGAGCAGCACACGTTGTTTCCATCATGGCGAGTCTGCTGTTATGTTCAAAAGAAAGCAGATTTTATGCTAGTATTAAGAATGGTAGAGACAGGTGCATTAGGAATGTCATTAATGTTAAATATAGCTCTACCTTTCACCAGTCCTCTTTAACGTAGGGTTTTGCTAAGTTTTCAAGATTACAAAGTGCTCGTGAGCAGGGAGGTCTCTATTGTGCTTTGAAGACTAGGCCGTCTGGTTACAATCTATAGGAACGAGAAAGTTTGTATGGACGCACAAGGCCACCTTTTTGTAGGGTTCGCCCTATATGACTGCATTGGAGCGTTATGAAATACTGATTTGAAAAAGGATACTTGAACGCGTCTGACCAGAGCATCTGTCAAGCGTTTCAGGGATGGGAACCTATGCGGCCTGTCCGACCCAGGTAGAGTCCTACGCTGCGATAGTATAATTTATAATGGTAGGATATAGGCGAGAAGGCAAATCTCCACTCCCGCATCGCTCAAGAAAGAAGGACCCTAGAACATATCGCATGAGACTGGTTCGATTGTCATGTCCCGTAAAGTCGACCCAAGTTATCGCCAAGCCCATAAAGTGTTTCAGGAATGTGGAGAACGTTAGCAAGGTCGCAAACAATTTCTGTCTCGTCAAAAATATTTAGCTGGTGGTACCTTAACCTACACTTCGAAGTTCATATACCTCAACGGCGGTAACCACGGGCGTCAGACACAGGGAACTCGGCGTCGTACGTCGGGTAGAAGGTCAGTGGGCTATATTGCAATATAAAGATTAGTACTGAACAAAATTATTTACTAAAAAGTGTTCCAGGAATTCCCATTATATGGGTATTATGTTCGTTTCTTAGACAGTCTCGATCTTCCATATGGTCTGGTACTTTCCGGCTATCTTTACAGGCAAAGATTAGCAAAATTGAAAATATGGCAACACGGTTCAAGACTGGCAAAAGCTTATCGCGATCAAACCGTTCTCTGATTCGACCAGTTACGCGAAAACCCATGCGATATGATGTTCCGACACATCACAGGGAGGTAGTACGCTGCAGTAGTGTGATAAGAACGCAGCGAATACAATGTTGAGGATCCTCGAAGTTGAATCAGCGGACAGCTCTTTGCAGTAGGTGAGACATCTGACAAGCGTAAGTATCCTATGTATCGCGCCCACCACGGGTTCTGCCTCTTCAAACCTTGCATACTTTCTGTACTACACAGAACGGCGAGTTCTGTGAAACTTTTATCTGAGCATAACAATCAGTTCGTTGAGCTGGAGAAAGTAACGACAGGTCCATTCATGTGCTTTGATAAATCGCAATAAGAGAGTAAATTTTCGCAGCGGGAATGGAAGAGGATCGTCTTGGCCGAGCCGTATCAGGACCTAATGAAAACACCTTTAGTTGTGAGCAAAGTTCCCGGAAGAAGGACTTGGTAGCTCTTCTCGACAATAAGCTCTCGTGTATGCATAGCCCTTCGCCTGGGAACTGAAATAGTGATGCCCGATATTATCGTTGCCGAGCTGAAGTAAGCTACCTTAAGCGCTAGTATTTATGTTGCCAGAAATTGGTGCAGATTAAACAGTTATACATACTTGAATGACGATTTTCTTCTAAAAAGGTCTGTGCACCTTGCAACCAGCAGGTCTATGCACGTGTGAACTAAACTGCGTATATAAATAATAGCCAAGGCCTTCCTTTGTGTGCTCATATCCCCCATTATGTATTACAAAATACTAAATAAATAAGTTGTAAGTCCAACTTTTCGTGTTCCATAGTAAAAATACACAAGTACAAGGAATGATCTCCTCCGAAACTTGTATCATGAAAAAAATATGCCGCCTCTAAATGGTGTTTAGTGTTGATAAGCGCTAGCACGCTCGTCGGGCAAACTCGTTCTAACCTTCGTTATGGAATGATTACATAGTAGAAATCGTTTATCATATGTCTAGCGCACACGATTGCTTCTTCCATCTATACCGCCGTGGATACATGATTAGCAAGGAGCCTTTACTCTTAATCTTTATATCTCTTTATATATCTCTTTATATATCTCTTTATATTATATATAATCGCATTACTACAATAGCGTTTAGGACAGTAATTAATAATAAATGCTATAACGATCATTATCTTTTTGTTGGCTTGAAGACACAATGGTAGATCGGTATATCACCACAAAAATAGTTACCAGCTATTTTAGGAACGACACCGATATCGCGATCCTTTCTTTCAACAGGTCCATCCAAGGGCGTGTTAGGCAAAAAGTTGCTAACAGAATTTCAAGTACAAGTCCTAACCACGATAGCCACCAAATACCTTCTTCTCATATCTTTGCATTGACAATAGTGTGTTTGTGTGATCTAGGGTCTAGATGTCTTGATGAAATCAAAGGTGAAGCTTCCTACCAAAGAAGATGGCGGGAAGGCTGGCATGACAAAAATATATTATAAAAAAAAAAAAAAAAAAACGATCCTGTCTCAGAAAGTGTTCCCGAGAAATCCCGAACTATGTTCTGACAATATTAGCATGTACTTTGTATGCCGAATGTATGAAGTGGCAAAATTAAGTGTTTATGGTTCAAGGAGAATTCGCAGCGTGATCAACCAAGATACGTGTCGATAAAGGACAAAAAAAAACTAATAACTGGTACAACGAGTACTTAGTTAAGTTACTTTTGCCAAGTCGATTAAACTACCTTTGCATAAAACTCAGTTCTGTACTCGGTCGCTGTTTAATAACGACGGTGGAAACTATTTGTAAACACTGCACAGTGATCTCAGTGTGGCTAATTCACAGCAGACCATATTAGTTCTGAGTAGTTGTAAGTTTTATATTTGCAACATGACGAGTTCTAATGACTTTCAGGGGTATAAAAAAAGCAATCAGTTTTTATATAATTTGTGTTGTACTCTGGTTTAGCTAATTCAAGCGTCTTGCAACCAGCTAAACGACGATGACCCTATTTACAATAACAAAATTGTGACGAAAAATGTTTTTTACTTACCAGCCTGCGTTGTCAACTGTTGCTCTCCAACGTTGTCCAGTTCCGCTCGGAGAAGAACAGTGCAAGACCGTGCCACCAGGCTCCCTGGGGGTGCTGCTGACCAACAAGCAAAACTATCCCACGTCGGGGAACACCAATCACCAGAGACACGAGACACGTCTGTAGCAGAGTGTTCTAAGAGACGACATAAATATCTGACGTCAGATTCGGTTATAGAAGAAATACTGATATGTTTTCTAGGTGTGTACGTTCTATTAAGCTACCGTAAGCAAGAACGCTTGATGTAATTTTGTGAGATGCGTTTGATTCTCTAGAAACTGGATACAGATCATCGTTTCTAGGAAAATGCCGTACATATAATTAGTTATTTGAATATCTTTCGAATTCTACAATGGCGAATGTCTATTAGTGGAATCGATTCAGCGGAATTCTCAGTATCGGAAATGACCCTATTCATATAGCGTACTCGTTTTCGTAGATGATACTTCACTCATCCGTGCCCGAGTGGTCGCCATCTGACTTTCTAATGGAAAAGGACACTGTCACTGAAATCGCTTAGGGTTCTGCCCATGTACATGCTTTAGAAGCATTTGGAGTGCATGTATACAGTACGTATATGCCATACATCGTATAGACTAACACTTGAAGGTTAAAGCCTTGCACACCTATTCAAGGGCCGCTGTCTGTGACCGGGGCAACGGCTGTCTGTGACACAGCAAATATTGAAAGTGGAAAATTCATCATCACCATACAAGCAAGTTGCGCCTCGACATCAAAGAAGCGAACCCGAACCTGCTCTGTCGGTGAGCTAGCTCTTGGTCTTATCGAGAACTGTACAATAGCAATAAAGTCTTATGAGAACCACCATGATATTTTCCTCTGATTTTCCAGTGAAAAGCCCCTTCGGTTATCACCTCCAGTCGGCGGTCCTAACTCGATTGCCGAATCGCCGCACCGGACAAAACGGAAGAGAAGTAATTCTTGTTTTGCGCATGGTTAGTCGATATCACCGAGAAAATGCTGTATAAGCACTTTGACAGTTGAGGCATTACTTGACTGCTGTTAGTGCCATCTTTGAAATACAGCCTCTGATATCGTGGTTGGCCATTCCTGCTGGCTGCAAACGTAGAAAATCTCCTTTACTAGCTGCTATGAGTTGCTCCTGGCGAAACACGGGCTGTTTTACTTTTATCACGATTTAATACGGCATCAAAAGATACAGATTGCTAACTGTGTGCTGCGATCTGTGTACGCTATTAGAGATTCTTTACCGTCTGTAAATGCGGCACTGATCTAACGCTGATTCTGTTGAAGGTATACAAGTAGTTAGCCTGAGTTAGGATTGTTGAAGTTTTGGTTCTCACACTACCTGGACAAAATACGCAAACTGTACATGAAGCATTTTCCCCGCTAGTGATTGCCAAGAGAAGATAAAAAAGAAACCTAACCTAATACAAAAGGTCCGACTTAAATACAAATCGGTAACAACAAGTCACAGTCTATGTGCTGGTCAAATCGTCGCATACCAAGCGTCTACTGGTCAGCTGTTGCTATGGAAACCTGATAATTGTCGATATGAGCTCCGCTCGTTGCCAACAGAAACAATATATCTCTATCTACGTATACCTTCCCTGGGGAACTCGAGATAGAGGGCTGCATTCATTGTTTCATTTTCGACGAGTATTTCGTAATAGCAGATTCCCCCCCCCCCCCCTCATATCCATTGTAAGCACCCGTGCCACCTTATGCCCGAACCTACTCGACACTGCCACCGAACGGGATTTCTCTCCAAGGCCGCACGCAGTCTTAGCCTGATCCGTCTCTTGTCAACGATAAAGACTGAACTGCGCTTCATTTCTGGCGACCATTTGCTCCAGGCATGTGTTTTGTTGTTTGAAATTATGCAAAGTGTATATTGAATGTCCACACACATTTGTCGTTTGCCTGAAATCAATTTACAGGCGGTCTATTTTTTACTCAGTCGCCGAACTTTCGGTATGTGGATTATAATTCTATAAGGCGGGACATGTAAAATATCAGTTTTAGCCCACACAGCCTTTAGACCCGAAGTTCTGCTCTCATAAAAAATCGCTTTCATTGTAGCAATACCCACAGGTCCCAACATCTGGTTACATCGTCACTAAGCTTCAACACGCTATTCTTGCTAAATCGTTATTCTTGAAACTGTTACATCCTTCACGTATAATGCTATAACTTACGATCTCCTTGCCTAATACCTTTACTAATATTTCGCAGTACCGTGACCTTCAACAAACAAAAAGTTGACGACAAACCATTGATTTTAAAGACTAATAGATACGCCTTTCGAGTTTTTCACTCAGAAGTTTCGAGAGAGCTGTATTATTTACTAGCCAAATTCGTCTGCTAAGTCCAAAAACTGTTCAGTTTCAACGTACATCGGATTCGCTTGTACTAGTCTTATAGATTGGGATCCAGATGCGGGGAAAGTTGTCATAGATACCATGACGCTCGATACCCTCATTTCTAGAATATCTGGAAAATCTCTCAAACTAATTTCACAAACTCAACAAGACCCAAGCTCTTTTTAAATGCTTTCATACACGCGCTCTAATATTGCATTATTGACCTATTTTTCGATGTTTTCGATTACTACCACTAAATTAAATGTGCTAATAGTCGACCAAGTATCGCGGATTTTTCTTGACTGAGCCGCATATCTCAGATAATATGAGTCACGTCGGACTGGTAACTTTTAAAGCTGAAATTTGACAGTAGTAGACGTGCTGTAATTGTTAGGATACCGTTACTTAAATTTTAGGTAGCGTGTCTTGACGATGAAGTTCCTATGAAAATAAGGATAAAAACGCAAATGCTGCCATGAAATATTGTGCTTGTTATCATCAAGATGCGTTACCGGAAGAATGGGTTTGTTCTATGTGAAAGATGCTCCTTTCAGTGGTCGACCAGTTGTGATAAAAAGGTGACGCAATTGTTGCAAAAGTCGAGCATGACCGATAACACATTAGTAGCTATAACATCGCCATGGAACTAAACATCTTCTATCGAACAGTTTTATCTTCTTATCGAACAGAAGAAAACCGGCTGTAAAAAGAAGCTTGATGCCACACGAATTGATGACCACAATGATGACAAATGGGTCACATACAACAATAATATGCGAACAAGCTCAGCGAAACCTTCATAAACAAAACGTCGGACTGGTGATGCTACATGTTTGGATACGATACTGGAAGGTAATCCTGCGCTGTAGGCCGCTGTCGCCAAACAAAACGACTCATCCCAATCTCTACTGTCAACAACTACAGGACTACAACAAGACAATGAAGAGAAAATCGACCGAAACTAGTGCACAGAAAGGACGTCGTCTATGGTAGTTAGAGGCCACATACGTCTTTAGCTACCCGGCAAAAATTGAACAAACACGGCTAGGAAATTTTACTGCATCGGCTTTATAACTCGGTCCTTAAACTATCAAACTGTCATTTGTTTCGATTTTTGTAAAAGTCCCTCAAAGGTTTGCTTAGTTTTAATGGTAGTATGCACAGAAACCACAGACGTTCCCTATTGATGGGACTCTCCCGTTATGAGAAAAAATAGCAGATGATCATTAATCAAAAACGCGCATTTTGATTTCAGTGATATTGTTCTAGATTGGAAAAAATATTTCCTTCAAGTTCGGCGCAAAAACTGTGGCACCTTTTCTGACTACCTAATATATATATATATATAAGTAGAGGGTGGGGCACTTGAATTCGAATAGATTTTAACCTGCTGTTTGTTGTAATGTGGGTGCGTTTATCCGCTACTCTTGGCACCAGATGAAAGCCAGTTTTCTCTAAAACAGTACACCAAATTTACCATGGCGAAAAATAGTATGTTGTCTTTGCTACTTGAACGAAGGTCAGCTATTATCTCTACCAAGGGTAAAAAACTTTTTGCCTGAAATTGAAGGTTTACGTTATTAATATTTTTCTAGCGGCACTGCAAAATCCCAGGAAACTTTCCACAAGGCAAACCATAGCATTTACATTTAAACGCTCGAAAATGACTTTAAAAACTAAAAAAATGCAATACACTTCAATGTTTGTTACAGGGATTAAGGGTCGTACATACTGAATATCAATTGCCCGACAGCTCATCCAGATAAGCTTCAATAGTTAGTCTTTTTCACGCACAATCACGCTGAGAATAATTTAAAACTCTTTATTGGAAATCTACTAAACGTCTGCCAGACACTTGTGCATGCTAGTTGACTGCCACACATTCAAACTTCAGTAAGAATATCTTGAAAAAGTTAACTTGACGATTCATGACTGGCAGAAGCTGGTCGAGACTGGATCGCGTATGCTTGTAAAGCTAACTTTGTTACACATCACTTAGAATGTCCAGTTGGTAATTACAATTCACGCCTGTAGGAACCTATTTAAAACAGAGTCGAGTTTCTCTACTTTTCAAAAGGGCGACCCGTCGGCGAAAAAAGGACGTAACGCGTAATAAGTTCTGATGAAGGGCAGCCATGCGGTGCATCTAGTGAGCCTTTATGTATATTAATAATGCATCTGATGCGGCAATTTCGTTCAGTTAATAAAAAAAAAAAGTTATAGTCATATATATGGCAATTCTGAGACAAAAAAGTCTGGAGAATATTGCGGCTGCGAGAAGCCACTTACTCAAGATCGTGCGACCCAGCATTGTCGTGGAAAAGGATGTCTTTGACTCATCGAGTTATTTCTGTTAAATGGCTTCATTCAATCAAGATGAGTGATATACATATATTTTCTAACAATTTTCGGCTTCTTAAGCGTCCCACCAGATATACAGTTTTTTTTAAAACGAAAATCTACTTTAATTCTCGGAAACACTTAACGCTTTCTCAGTTTCATATAGACGTTGAGACATTACTTCTCATATCCATTCCGTGTAACAACCTGTGGCTGTGCGTTACTCGACACTAAGGCGAGATATTGAGGGTCAATAAACAAGTATTTCTTTGTGATGTTCACATCCCAGGCGTCAGTGGCACAATGAACCTCCTAGTTTCAGATAAAAGTACCGTAGATTCAGAATGCTGTGCTTTTTGCAGCTTACTTTCTCGATCAAGGGGCAGATTGTTTGGCATCCGAGGTTGGCCGACCGGGGAACTTTCTAAATCTGAGATGAAAATTTTGACT